ATTTTGCCTTCATATTGTGAAATATACATCAACCGTTTAATACAGGATTATGTCTTTGGTTTTTTATTAAGCCAGAGTTCAAATTCTGCTTCTGCACCAGTAAAACTTAAGAGTATTATATGTAGTCAAAGGAAGATCCATTATTTTAATAGACTAAATATCTACATATTAAAGAGACCAGGGAAAACTAAGTCAATAATTGAAAACTGAAAAAAGCTCAAATGAGATTTTAAAAGGTTAATTTCAGAAGCAGTGTTGATTCATCCCAATTCAAACTACGTTTCTCCAATAACTTGCTGGAAGAAAACGAGGACAGAGAGAGGAAAGAGAAGAATGAATATGAATGAATATAAATGTGTGATATCAAAGTCAAGGCAATCGCTTCTCATTGTGAGAATTTTAAGACCCCTACCTGTTAGCAAAGGTGCATATCCAGGGAGATTTTTTTTTTTTTTTTTTTTGAGACAGAGTCTCACTGTGTTGCCCGGGCTAGAGTGAGTGCCGTGGCATCATCCTAGCTCACAGCAACCTCAAACTCCTGGGCTCAAGCGATCCTCCTGTCTCAGCCTCCCGAGTAGCTGGGACTACAGGCATGCGCCACCATGCCCGGCTGATTTTTTCTATGTATTTTTAGTTGTCCGATTAATTTCTTTCTATTTTTAGTAGAGATGGGGTCTCGCTCTTGCTCAGGCTGGTTTCGAACTCCTGAGCTCAAACAATCCGCCCGCCTCGGCCTCCCAGAGAGCTAGGATTACAGGCGTGAGCCACTGCGCCCAGCCCAGGGAGATTTTTTAAGGGAATCTAAAAGTGAATGATTTTGTAAAATTGGGATTTTCTTACGTGAGACATTTTTTGCTTTGAAGACTTTTATTTTTCAATTTAAAGGTGGGAATTTCTTAAAGTAGGACTCAGCTGCAAATTTTTCCCAGCCTCCAGAAAAATTGTATTTTATCCATACTCAAATAGTTAAAATATATTTTCCACTGGAAATGATGGCAAGAACTTGGAATTATACAATGCTCTTTGCACTGTATCTGCCTCTAAGCGTGAAAGGCCGGGTATAGAGGACGTGAGAAAACCGGCTCCCCGTTTATCATCATAGTTTCCTACCGTGATTTGCTGGATTTGATTCGATGGTCATGTGAATATTGTATCTGGCATGAAGGGAAAAGGCACAGCACATTTAAGAGGGGAGTGTCTGGCAGGAGATCGTTTAGAAAATGCTGGAAACCTGTTCAGTGCAAATTTGTGGCTCTCAACCCAGACCACACATCAGAAGCTCAGAAGGCTTTAAACAGTGTTGAAGTCGAGGACCTCCCCCGGATTCGGGTGTCATTGATCTGGGTGGGGCCGTAGTGTCCCAGAAGACTCCAGTGTGTAGCCAGGGTGAGACCCACTGATGGGGATGAAGGATGGAGAACTGTGGGAGAAAGTGCAGAGGTTGCTGGGGACACCTTTCCCGTGAGGAACGAGTGGTCCCCTGGCGGTGCCTGCTGGGAGTCTCTGAGCTGATTCTTCCAGCCTCTCTGGTTTCCGGGCTGGCAAAGCAGCTGGGAGCAGGGAACAGTTATTCACAGAAAAGTCACCACTTCCCAAATGCACTGTCATTAATACATTGTCTACATATTAAGGGGTGGCCAACTAGAAGGTTCTTCCACTAGAGCAATTGTACCTAAGACAAAAAAACACCCTCGACAATCGTGGAGCACTGCAAACTGGGCTGCCTCAGAGCAGAGAACGCGGCCTCTGGGTCCCACAGCCAAGTGGGTCACATGTTTAATCTCCTCCCTGAGGGAATGGCTGGGGCCAGGGTTAGGTCTCAACCTTGGCACTACTAACATTCCGGGCTGATAACTCTTTGTCGTGGGGGCTGTCCTGTGCATTGCAGGATGTTTAGTAGCATCCCTGGCCTCTACCCACTAGATGCCAGTAACATCCTCATTCTTCCAAGTTGTAACAACTAAAAATGTCTCCAGAAATTTCCAAATGTCTGGGGACAAAATCAGCCCCCATTGAGGACTGCAGGCAATTTTAGAAAGAGAATTGCTTAGTGGGCAAAAGGATGTGTTGGGGCTAGAACAATCCCAAAGGCCATAAAGAGACTGTTGAAGAATCTGGTCTGGTAGGGTCTGTCTTGCTGGCCTCTGTTCTAGAGTCTGACATGTTGAAGGAACTCAGTAGTGACTTGGTGGATGAATAAGTGAATTCTCCATTTCGCTCTTACGGAAAACCCAGGCTCTTGCGAGCTGGCAGACGAGGCACACCCTGGGCACTGGGCAAGGAACAAACCATTGCAAAAGGTCCCAGGTGGCCCTGGGGGCTGGGTGGACTCTGAGCAGCAGAGATGGCTGGGAGAGTGGACACACGAAGGATGCTCAACCCCGTGGATGAACTTGGCTAGCCACGGCCATGGCAGCAGGACTCAGGCTGGGTGGGCCGGGCAGGGGTCGCTGTGGGGCTGCATTCTGGCCTCGCTAATGGAGCCCCTGTGTCTGTGCTGTTGCAGCTGTGTCCCGTGATCGAGCTGGCCTTCAATGACATATATGCAGAGCTCCTGGAGATTATTAGGGGTAGGTGCACTGCTCTCTCTTCCACCTTCTCCTTTACCATGGAGCTGGCCTCCAGGACCGCCTCCACCCAGGGGGGCCTCCCCAGTCAAGCTTGAGCAGCAACTGGGCCCAGTGGCAGGTGGCAGGAGCACCAGGTGATGCCTGCCCAAGACGAGCAGACAAGTTCACCAAGACCTCGACTTAATGAGCTCCTACTCGATGTAAGGTTCTGTGTGAGGCCGGCAGATGCCCCAGATAAACTCAAGTTCAAATCCCAGCTCCACCACTGACTTGCTCCATGACTTTGGGAAAGCCACTCCACCTCCTTACTCTTGGTTTCCTCATCTGAAACATGGGGCTTATACATCCCTACTTCATGGATTGTTGGTGAGGATTAAAAGTTTACAGAAAAGTTCCAGGCACATAGGAGGTACTCTGCCTGGCACAGAGAAGTGTTTTCGAATGCATGCTAAACGGCCGGAGGGAGGGAGGGAGGGAGGGATGATACGGCAACCACTATGTGCTATTAGAGGAGAGGAAACAAGGGAAGAGATGAAACGTGTGCTCAGCAAGGAGGTTGTTTCTCCCTCCCTGAGAGCAGCAGAGATGGGAGGACATGGGCTCCTGCCCCCACATCAGAAATCTGCCTTGCTTGGAACCTCCCAGTGGAAATTGGCGAGGAAAAAGAAAAGTCTACCAGCCACTGATTTGGGATCCGAAGAGGCTCATTCAAAGGCCAACCAGAGAGGAGTGGGAAGAGGAGAATGAAATGGAAGTGCATTGAGCACCCGGAGAGCACCTGCCATGGGCTGGGTATTCTACACCCACCGTCTCACTGGCTCCCGGAACAGCTCCATGCAGCAGCAAACATCACCCCACTTTACATGTGGGGAAACTGAGGCTTAGAGCAATTAAGTCATCTGTCCAAGCTCACAGAGGCAATTGGTAATATGGGGAAGCCTTGAACCCAATTCTTCCAGTTCCAAGTGGGTATGACTCAGATTTGGTGGTTACTAGGTGCCCATTCTGTACATGAGGCAGGAATCGCTATGATATCCTCATTTTAAGATGAGGAAACAGATTCAAGGGCAAGAAGAGACTAGCTACGGTCTCTGGGGCTCAAACCCAAGTCCAATTGGCTCCTCTGCTCCCCCAGGGGCAAGAGAGGAGGTCTCCTTCCAGGAGGAGGCGGCCCCTGCGCCACCGCCCGTCCCACCCTCCCCATCCTCGGGCCTACTGCCGGGGCGGATGAGACGCCACCGCCACCTGGCGGCCAAGTGGGGAATCCCGAGGCGAACAGGAGATCCGCGGGTAAATGGGTGCGCACCGGCCATCCAGACCCGGAACTGTCCGCATGGGGAATGGCCGATTCAGTCTGGTGAGGGAGGTGGGGCGTTATAAACAATAGTTCAGTTTTGTTCCAAACCAGGACTGTGGCATAAGACCAACTGGGTTCAAATCTTCTCACAGTATGACCTTGAGCAAGTCATTTCACTTTTCTGAGCCTCGGTTTCTCCATCTGTAAAGGGGGTACTTATAGGATGTACTTCCGGGGGTTATTCTGCAGGTTAATGAGCCAACATATGCAAAGGTTCAGCGCAGTGCCTGGCACTTGGTATACACTCAGTGTCTGCCCTTATGGTCATTTTCGTTATTATTATCAACATCATTACCACCTGCCCCTCCTGCTACTTCCCCACGCGACAATCCAGCAGAGAGCAGCCCCCAAACCATCCCACCCAATATTGCCCCCACCCTCACAGAACTTTCTTCTTGTCCCGGAGCAGCGCCCGTTTCCCTCGGCCCTGACCGCCTGGAGTTTGACATTCTGTCTCCTGCCATCGAGGACAATGTCATCCAGTTCAACCTGGGGGTGAGTGCCCCAGGACCTCGAGAATAAAGGGGACTTCGCTCCCTTCTCTGACTGCAAGGGTCAGGCACCACAGGCCTGTAGAAGGGGAGGAAACCCCAGTCACACTTAGGACACAGGGGCTGATTTAGAAAAATCACAGCAGGCGGAACACATGCAGGCCATTGGCGGGGGTGGGGGGTGGAAACCCGGCAGGCAGAGTCAAGGGCCACGTGCAGATGATCTGCCCAGGGGATCTGCCCTCGACCCTCATTTCCCCTGTCATCGCCCCAAATGTGTGCACCGGGGCCCTGGCCTTTTTCTCAGGCAAGTCCCTGCCAATCCCTAAACCTCTGGTGACCTTGAAACAAGAGCCCAGGATTGAGACATCATTGAGAATCATGCAGACCTAAGTTTCTCTCCCAGCCCCATGACTCCCAGGCTGTGTGACTTTGGGCAAGTTTCTTCATCTCTCTGACCCTCCATTTCCTTGTTTGCAAAACGTAAATCCTAATGGTCACTGGGGAGAGGATGAAATGAGACCACGCAGTGCCGGGCAGACAGGACGTGCCCGGTAACTGTCAGCTCTCTGTAAAACGTGGAGCCACACACCACGCTGGGGTGCGCTCCCTGAGGGCCCAACCCACCCAGTAATGTGACTCCCAGGCTAGTTTTTATAGACCCCTTAAAAAATTGCAACATCAAGTACTTCCATCCATTTTGTTACAGTTTTGAATTTTCCCTTCATCCAAAAAGGGTTTGAAGTATCTGAGAAGTTGAAACGTAAGTGAAAAATAAACTATCTAGGTTAAAAGATAAAAATTAGAGGTTATCTGAGGGGTGCAGGTGGAGTAGATGTCATCACCTGAGACAGCTCACAGCCTCCAGCAAGGCACTGAATTCCAGGCTAAGCTTCCTGGCAGCAAGTGCACAAAGGCAAACAAGCTGAACGGCGTTCCTTCCTTCTGCTTTGTCCTTGGGTGAGCTGTAGAGTTAGCATTCTCAGCTCGCTCCCTGCTCTGCATCTCCTCAGGCCAGGCTGTTGCACTCAAAGGGAACGGTGACCGTGACCAAGTGGTTCAACAACTCTGTGGCTTCCCTGACGATGCCCACCGCGCACAGTGCCCCGTTCAGCCTCGTCGTGAGGCAGGACGTTGTGAACGCTGCGGTGGCTGCCTTGCTCCCTGCAGAAGAACTCATGGTCCTGTTGGACTACGTGGTAAGCCTCGGCAAAGGACAGAGGATGGGACCACCTATGCTGCATCATGGGAATTTCCTGAAGCAAAAGGGGTGCAAGGACCCCTAGGCCCCTAAGCAGGGATCCCCTGTCAGGCTCAGCTTAAATCCCTCCAGTAATGGAGAGCTCACTCCCTCCCCTAATAGACTCCACCTCTGACATAGACCCGAAGCTGAAACCTCCCTGTAACATCCAGCCCCCATCCTAGATCTGCCCTCTGAAGGACAGATTCAGATGCATCTGTCTCCTCTACCGAATACCAGTCCTGCGGAGTCAGAGGGCATCTTAGACACTGAGTGGTCCAGGGATGGCAGATGTGTTGCTGCCTGCACTGTGGGGCCCATGGCAGACATCACTAATCGATCAGGGCCCTCCTTCCTCCTGAGTCTAGATGCCAACACAACCTTGAAATCCTTATCAACATAGCACAACGGACAACCGCCACAAGTCAACTATATTGTGCCACCTCCTCCAGGGTGACTGGTGGGGAAACTGAGGTCCAGAGGGGGAAAGGGTTGGCCCAAAGTTATGGGAGGATGGCAGGACTTCAGGTCAGCTGACAGACAACAGATAACCAAGCTCTTGGGGGACTGAGATGGCAAGAAAATGGGGAATGGTCACCAGCCATCACACTCATGATTGTGATAAGAATTGGAATCACTTCTCTATGTCCTCTGGGAGCAGGGAGCTGCCCACAGACCCCAGCACCAACAGCCCACAGTAAAAGTTCAGGCCAGCAGGGACCCCATAGCAGCTGACCTAGGGGCTGTTTTCCCACCAATGACAAACACATAGCCTAGACCACTTTTCTGGGGTCCTAGGAAACCTTCATCCCAGCAGCAGGTACAGAGGTGTGCCTCCCCTGTCCCCTCCAGCTGACTGACCCTCTCTGGCCTCCTGTCATCCTCAGCTTCCTGAACTGGCCCGTGAACTGAAGTCAAGCATCAGGGCGATCAGTGAAAAGGTCGGTCCCTCTGCCATCTGTGGCGTGGTGGGTGTGTGCTCGGTCTGTACCCAGGCCTCTGGGGGTAGAATCTGTGCAGGACCCTCTTTCCTTCCAGCACTGGGGCACTCAAACCAGGTCCCTGTCCTCACAGAGATTTCATTCTCGTGGGCCAGTTTGACCTGAATCAAATAATCACATGCATGCTATTTCCGTTGCAGCCACAGTAAGAGAGGACAGGTTCTCGGGGTTATGAGAACATTATGGGCACCTGATCTAGTCTGGGAGCTCAGGGAGACTTCCCTGCAGGGAAGGGACTCCAGACAGAGAGAACAGCAGACCAGGGCTGCCGGGCAGGGAGAACAGCAGTGCATTCCAGGATCTGTGAGAAGGACAGTGTGGCTGGAGCCCAGAGAGGATAGCAAGGCCAGGTCACAGGGGGCCACTTGGGGCCTGTGGACCATGGTGAGGCATGTGGGAGGCCACATGTGGCTCTGATGTCCTTCCAGGCTGCAGATCAGCTGGGGCCCACCCAAATTGTGAAGATCGTAACTCAGGATACCCCCGAGCTCCTCCTGAGCCAAGGCAGTGCCAAGGTGGCCCAACAGATTGTGCTGGACTTGTTCCCCACCAATGAAGCCCACCGCCCCTTCTTCACCTTGGGCATCGTGAGTTCAGTTGTCTGTGACATTGGCAGCAGCCTGGGGGACACTCCTGTTCACTGTTCTTGTTCATCTTCTTGCTTCATTAAACATTTCCACCGCTCTTGTCACCTAGCAGGGGTTGGGGAGAGGAAGCTCTGGACCAAGAGTCAGAAGCTTTGGGGGCCCAACACTGACCCTGTGACTTTATTAGTCAGGGATCTCTGGGAAAAAATTCAACTCATATGCACGAAAGGAATTGTATTAGTTCACATAACTAAAAAGTCCAGATGGGATTAGCTTCAGGAATATCTGGATCTAGGTGCTCAAACTATCTAGCAGCCTTGTTTTCCTTTGTGCTTCCTTCATCCTCAGGCAAGCTCTTCCCTCATGGAAGTGCCCTAAGCTGTATTGGGCTTATATCCTATCAGCTTGGCAATTCCAGCAGGAAGTACTTCTCTTTCCCAATAGTCCTAGCAAAAGTCTCAGGGATGACTCTCATTGAATGAGCCCAGGTCATGTGCCCATTCCTGAGCCAATCAGTATGGCCAGAAAAATAGAATATGTAAATTTCCTGAGCCAGGACAGGTACACACCAGAGTGGGAGGTGGGAAGGTCCATCCAAACCACAGAGACTGGGAGGAGGAGGGACAATTGTTCTACAATGGGGCAGTAATAGGACCCACCTCATAGGGTTGCGAGGGTGCCATACAGTTTGGCTGCTGTCATCATCATTGTCATCATCATCACTGCCCTCAACAAGCCTATATTGTAATCTGTTAAACAGGGAGTGGGTACAAGTACTGTCCCATTTCATAGATGAGGAAAGTGAGGCCCAGAGAGGTCAAACTCTTTCCCAAGGTCACAGAGCCAGTAGCCGAGATTCAGACCGTGTCAGCTTGACCCCAGAGCCTCCTTGTGCAACCCCTAGCCCCACACTTGATGCATCTGCTTAAGAGAAACAGGGCCTGAGCTTCTCTTGTTGCAGGAAGCCAGTTCGGAAGCTCAGTTTTACACCAAAGGTGACCGACTTATGCTCAACTTGAATGAACTCAGGTAAACATGTAAATCATTGTAAAGATTCTGCTGATGAAAATGAGCCCCGCCTGTGACCGTGGGTTTCTTTCAACGCCCAGTGTGTGGGCGTCAGGCGAAGGCCGCCCCAGGACTCCCCTGCTGTCGGGACTGAATGTGGGGGAGAGGGAAGGGAAACGAAGTGGGCTGCAGCAGCCTGGGGCAGGCAAGCCCTACCCAGCACCACCCCCTCCGCAGGGGGCAGCCCATCCTGGCTGCCTCCAGGACAGCAGCAGTGACAGTCACACCCTAGTGCAAGAGTGCACCCATTGCTGTCTGTGCCCTACCTGCTTCCCCAACCCCATCCCACCCCCTTCCTGCTGCCCGGAGTGAGTTCAGGGGGTGCAAACTGGAGCCTCCTGGGACGAGTCAGGCCCAGGGCTGTGTTTTGATCAGCCCACACAGGGTTGGGCTTTTCCCACATAAATTAGTTGTGAACATATAAAAATCTGACTATTCGGCTGCCCGGGGCCCACATTCCTACAGAGCAACAGACGGCTGAGCGGGGACTGGCTGCCCCTTGGGAAAGGAGCTGGGGCTCCCTAGTCCCCCGCAGCCCTCACTCCTGCGGTTGGCGTTTCTGTTCTTTGCTGCTTGTTTCTGTGTCCCCCACCCACCCACCCACCGCTGGAGTGCGAGCCCCACCAGGCCAGGACTCGGTTCGGCTCACAGCTGTAGCACGTGCCTGCGCCGTGCCTGGCACAGGCCAGGTGCTCGATACACAGCTGTCGTGTGACTGGACGGATGCACGAACGGGACTCCAGGGCCACTGTCACAGGCATCTTCTGTTGCAGGTCCGATCGGATCCAACTGATGAATTGGGATATTAACTGGTTCGAAGTAAGTATTAACAGATTGTCCCTGAGGGCGCAGGGATGGCCTGGAATGGCCTACTCTGAAAAGACATTGCCCAGGATTTGCTTCAAATAAGGCCCCCCTGGAAGCCCCACCGTGGGCTGGCCAGCCTCCACGTCAGCCACTGAAGCCCCACCTCCCAGCTCAGGCGTTTACTGACACAGCTGAGAACACGCGCGCACACACACTCACACTCACACAAATACCCACGCTCACAGATATGCATTCACTTTCGTTCAGTGAAATTTCGATCCTAAACTAGAAAACGAATGCCCTCGGTTCGCATCTCATTTTGCTCACGTAGATGCCTAGTGACCCTGGGCAGCCCCTTCCGTGTGATCCTAAGTTTCCCCACCTGAGTCAGACCAAACTGGACATCTCAAACTGCCGGAATCCTGGCCTCTGCCACGTCTTCTTTGGTCTTTATATTTTGTTGTCTTTTTAAAATGTTTTTTGACTAATATTTTAAAACAAGGAGATTTCCACATGAAAATCAGGACTTCTGGCTTCCCTCCAGAAGTTAAAAGCTCAGGCAGGCTGGCCACAGTGGCTCACACCTGTAATCCCAGTACTTTGGGGGGCCAAGGCAGGAGGATCACTAGATCCCAGGAGTGTAAGACCAGCCTGGGCAACATAGCAAGACCCCATCTCTACCAAAAAAAAAAAAATGCTTGGGCAAGGCAGGGCAAAATTCCTGCAGGTCCAATTCAGTTAGAACAGAGCAGTGGAGGCCCTGAGGATGGGGCACCCCAGTGTCCCCATATACTGGGCCCCCACGGCAGCTGAGTTCATGTCCTGTCCCAGCCTGTCTGGCCCCAGGAGCCCTTGCAGCTCTGACTGGCTGGGAACCTGGGATTCCAGCATCTCCACCGGCTTCCTCACCTTGGGGTGAGCTGTGCCCACGCAGAATGACGGGGAAGACTTCAGATTCTCAGCCAGGGTGACAGAGCCCCTTCTCTCTCACAGCCTGAAATTCTGAAAAACGTCACCACCGAGATCCTTGTCTCCATCTTGCTGCCAAACGAGAATGGTGCGTCCCTTTGCCATCTGTCCCTCTCTGTCCCCAGGGCGTTGGTTTACTCCTCCTGCTTGCATCTCCATTTGGAGCCCCTTCCATTCATTTCCCACGCACCCTTCAAGGCCCAGTTCAAGCTCTGCCTCCTCCTAGAAGCCTTCCAGGCCACCCAGCTGCAAATGTCCTCTCCCACCACCGACCTCATAGCCCAACTCCTGTACTAGCGCCCGAGCCTGGGCTTGCGGAGATGAGCAGGCAGCGCCCGAGCCTCCCGGGGCTGACAGCAGGCAGGAGACACAGCTGTGAACAGACAACCAGAGCACACTCGGTGCCTCGGCAGACCTGGGTCCAAGTCCTGTTCCCCTCTTGCCAGCTGCCTGGCCTCGGTCAAGCTGCCTAATCCTTCTGAGCCTCAGTTTCTCCATTTGTAAAATGGGGAAATAAAAGCACCTTCTTCGGAGGCACAAATGGGATGATACTTGCAAAGGGCAGAGGGCTTGCATGGCACAGTCGGTGCTCAATGTTTCTTAGCCGAGGCTGCTGCTGGCGCGTTGTTTGTTACTAGTGGAGGAAGCAGAGAGAGAAGGTGGAATTCCTTTAATTAAGCCCCAGGTCATGGGGGTGGGGACAGTTGATAACCTACATCAGCCTTGCCTTTTTAATTTCTTAATTTTATTAGTGTGGGGGAATCTCAAAGCATAGACATCTCTGCTGTGGATGATGGGAGCCCCTGATGGTTCTTGAGCAGGAGTGTGAGAGGATATGAGGGCGGCGCTTTGTGAGCAGCCAGAAGCTGGTGCCAGGGGCAAAGGGTGGGGAGATGAGGCTGGGGCCAGAGAACAGGTGCGCAGAGGCAGAGGGGACGGTCCAAAGCGGGCGTGCCAGGAGCTGTGGGCCTGCCCGTGGCTGTCCAGGCCCACTGCAGGCCCCCCAGGCTCTGACCATGTTTGTTATTTCAGGCAAGTTAAGACCCGGGATCCCAGTGCTGATGGTGAAGGCCTTGGGATTCGAGGCAGCTTCGTGCTCCCTGACCAAGGTGAGCAGGGTGTGCACGGCCACTGAGACAGCCCTGGCTGGGAGGCGGGGCCTCCATCCCGTCCTGGCGCTGCTGGTCACTTGTTGGGACTTTGGGCAAGTCCCTTCACCTCTCCGGGCCTCATCTCCTCATCTGCAAGTGAGAAGGTCGGCTGTGCCCTAAGGGACCTTCCCAGCCTGGGTCAATACACTTTCCCACCCCCCCTTGCCGTTCATTAATTCATTCATTTGTTCATTCAGTGAATAGTTTTTGAGGGTCTTCTATATGCCAGGTGTGCCTCTAAGTGCTTGAGGCTACGGAAATGAACAGAGAATGTCCCCGTCTTTGCAGAGCCCACGTCCTAGCAGGAAAGGCAAATACGTAAACCCATAATATATAACATCGGGTTGAAGATAAAGGCTGAGAAGAAAAATAAAGCGGCTCAGGAGGAAGAGAGTGATGCTGGAGAAGGGGGTGATGTTTTAGATGGGGTGGCCAGGGAAGGACTCTCTGAGGAGGTGACATTGGAGCCGACACCTGAGGAGGTGAGGGAGTGAGCCCTGTGGGTAGCTGGGAGGAGTGTCCTGTCAGAAGATACAGCAAGTGCAAAGGTCCTGGGGCAGGGTTGTTTAATGCTCCAGGAAAGATAAGGAAGGAGGCCTGGGATCTGAGGCAGCAGACAGGGCATGTGGAGCGTAGGCCTGAGACGCCCAGACCCCTGCGTGGCTTACTGTTCACACAGACCCTCCGCCTCTGTCCCTTCTAAGAATTTTGTATGTGTGAGTTCAGGGTCATGGCCCCCAGTACCAGCGGTCACCTTGTGGAGAGCAAAACCAGCATAAACCACAACAAGGCAGGAGGTAAAAACCTGTTTGTCTTTTCTTCTCCAATCCCAGGATGCCCTCGTGATCACCCCAGCCTCCTCGTAGCAGCCTGGCCCTCCTCTCTCCCAGTGAAGACGAGGCCGGTGGCCATCCAGGCCCAGCAGGGTCCCAGCCAGGAGTGGGGCGCGAGCTCTGTAGACCATCCTCTCTGCAATCAATAAACACTTGCCTGTGACTCCTGTGATCTGGAGTGTATCTTTGTCCCAGCACAGGGGTCATTTTGCCCCTGGCAGTCTTGGGGACTGGACATCTGAGCCACGTCTGGGTCATGTGAAGGCACATCGGAGCCAACCTGGGCAATGTCTGAGCTACATCTGGGCTACATCGGACCACAGGGAGGATGATGTCCACGGTCTTGCTCCCCCAGCTTCAGGAATAAGAAAGCCAGTTCTTCCTCCTGCCTTCCATGTTGGGTCAGCCTCAAGACCGTCTCTGATGGGGTGGCCTTCTGGGTGGGGGACATACGTTCTGTTGATCTTGGCAGTGTGGTGGGCAGAGGGCTCTCGGAACAATGTGGCTCCGGAGGCAGATGAACGAGGCTTTGAGTTCCGGCCTGGCCCCTCAGTGCTTCTTTGACCCTGGGATATGGCTTCCTCTCTGCAGGCCTCAGTTTTCTTTTCTGCAAAATGGGAAAATAGGGAGGGTCATAGTCCCCACCTTGGAGGTCTATGGTGAGACACATGCCAGGTGCTCAAACATTGTCACCTGAGGGTGATGTCATTGTCACTGCTGTCACCTGGCCTCTGGAGTTTGGGGCCTTATCATCAAAGGCCCTGCCCACTCAGCGCGTGACTGCCATTGTCTCCCTGGCCTCCCTGATGCCAGGAGGCTCGGGACAGACAATGGCACCCCTGTTCTCCTGACCCCGGGCCCGCCCCAATTCCAGAGCCCTTCAGCTACACAAGGGGCCTTGCAGGAAGGAATAGGGTGGGCGTTTCAGGAAAAGACATTCTCGACGTCAGAGCACAGACAGGCATAAGAACAGCTCACAGCCCAGGCAAGGGGCTTCTCCTGTCCATTACACAAGGCACGGCCAGGACAAGGCCCCGCACGAGGCGCGACAGCGGCGTCAGCCGCTACTTCCTGGGCAGCTGCCAAGTGCCGAAGCTCCCTGCGCGTCCCCGGCTCCCAGCCACACTTTGCCATCTGAGGACGGGGTAGGAATTTGCTCCCTACACACCACATTCCATTATTTTTCTACATTATATAAATCTGAGTTTGAGCCCCCACTCACAAGGGAGGAGAGAACGTCGCTCCGTCTTGTCCTGTGGAGGTCTCTTCTGCCTCCCTGGAGTCGTGCGAGGAGCTGTCGGGGCTTCCAAGGAGCCTGGAGAAGGGGCGGAACCTCTGGTCTTGGTCCCCCCAGGCCCGATTAGGGATCTCTGTTCCGGCCCACATGCTCCTGTCGGGGCGCGGGGATGGTTCTCCAAAACAGCTGTAACCATGGGTCCTCAGTCCCACCATCCACGTCCCTGGGGCTTCCTGGAGGAGGGGGTGGACAAACAACCCCAGCCCCTCACCCCTCCGGGCGGGGAGCAACTCCGAGGCACCTGCTCTGGCCTGGCTCCAGAGCGCCCCGCCGTGGTGACTGGCTTGAGGGCACACTTGTCACAGGCCATCTCCCAGCCCTGCCTCATTTCCCGTGCTCCTCGCGGTCACCCCCCAAGTCAACTCCTGCAGCCCAGGCCCGCTCTCAGGTCTGCTTCTTGGAACCCCAACCAGGATGCCACACGCTCCACACCGGTACTGTTGCAGGGTCTTACGGACTCACCCCCCTCCACGCCTGCACTAACATCCTGCACTGTCCTGGTGACTCAGATGACGCAATTAGCCCGAGAGCCTTTTTCTGCCCCAGGCAGGAGGAGGACAGCCCTTGGCAGCAACACTGAAACCCAGCCACAGAGATGAGGGGGGCCCACCAACTCTTAGAGCATCTTGCAACCCCAAAAGTCTGGGATTCTGAAATAGGAACACCCCATCCAGTACAGCTACCGAAGCATACTAACGTTAGCCGTTTGCTAATGTCAAAACACTGGCCACAGTGAGAACTTCAGAACGAGCTAACATCGACCTTGCGTTTCCTGTGCAGCTGCTGTCTTCCAGAACCGGCCCTGCCACCATCAGCCCCTCTGCCCCACACACACCTCCAGCCACGGAACAGAGTTTAACACCTGCCCTGACCATGCCCCTAAGTTGTGAAAGGGAAAGAAATTAATCACAGGGAAAACCTCATGGAAAATCTGTAAGATTGGGTCATGCTCGCCGCCCACTGGACAGCCGTTAATAAACATCAACACTGACACAGCTAGCTGTGCACACTCACAGTGGGTCACCAGGATTCCACACAAGAGGACCTTTGTGCCTCAGCTTGGTTGAGAGTGAGGAGCTTGGAGCTCTATGACTTAGTAACACCAAATTTCCCTTTCACTGGGTGGTCACGCCGCTCTCTGGGCCCCGATTTCAAAGCCCAGCCTTATTACAGACATGCTGTGTGACCTAGAGCAAGGTACTTAACCTCTCTGAGTCTCAGCTTCCTCATCTATAAAATGGAAATTAAAATAAGTAACTTCTTTGAACCCTTCCTATATGCCAACCCCTGTACTGACAAGTTGCCTCAACAAACCTTCACAATATCCAAAAGACATAGGTGGATTTATTATTCCCATTTTACAGACATGAAAAGTGAGGCTCAGGAGGGAAAATAACTTGCCCACAGTCACACAGTTTCTGAGTGACGGTGGCAATTTGAACCCAGGCCTGTCTGGCTATAGAGGCCATGCCCTCGGTGACCACACCTCGGTGACCACATCTCTGATGGCCTGGACAACATATATAGAAAGGTCATGGGGAACGCCCACGAGATGGACGCTGACCCCTCGCCTCCCCGCCTTTGCCAATTGCCTGCTCTCCTCCCTCCTCCCCACCCCATACAATCACTCCCTTGGGTTCTGTGACGGCCACATCCTGTATTAGGAGCCTCCTCAGGGCCCCTCCCGAGAGCTGGAGGCCTTGCCCAGGATCCAATGCTCCGATGCTGTTCCAGAAGGAAAGGGCCCACCCTCAAAACCACAGGGCCCCACCCACTTCCTTCCTGGGGTCTGCTGGCCCAGGGCCCAGAGCCTACCCCTCAGGTCACAGTGATGGCCCTATCAGTTTTTTTTTTTTTGAGACAGAGTCTCACTGTGTTGCCCGGGCTAGAGTGCCGTGGCGTCAGCCTAGCTCACAGCAACCTCAAACTCCTGGGCTCAAGCGATCCTCCTGCCTCAGCCTCCCGAGTAGCTGGGACTACAGGCCCGCCTGCCACCACACGCAGCTAATTTTTTCTGTTTTTCGTAAAGACATGGTTTTGCTTTTGTTCAGGCTGGTCTCGAACTCCTGAGCTCAAACAATCCGCCCGCCTCGGCCTCCCGGAGTGCTAGGATTACAGGCGTGAGCCACTGCGCCCCCCCGGCCGGCCCTATCCGTTTTGCCCTGAAGCCCCCTGCCACCTGGTGCCAAGAGGACCCCTCCCTCTACTGAGGAGCCCCTTTGAGCCACAGCCCTGGCCACGGGCTGCACTTCCTGCCCATGTGCCCGCCCACCTGGGCTTCAGAGCTCAGGTTATAAAAGCTGTCTTTCTGGGAAGCTGGAGACAGAGGCCAGGGAGAGACTCCGGACAGCCCCATCCTTGGAGAGGTAAGGCCGAGGAGGTCAACGTGACATTTCTCAAATATGTCTTGAGCACCTACACTAATGTGGTGGAGTGGGAGGACAACCTGGGATAGAATCGCAGCTCTGTCACTTACCACCTGTGTTACCTTGGGTAGGTCGTTTCTCCTTTCTGAGCCTCAGTTTCGCCATCTGTATAATGGGCCTGATATTGATGATCCCAGACCACTGCGGTGAGGACTCAGCAAAGCTCACAAAGCTTTTGGCGTGGTGCCGGCACAGTCAGGGCTTCAGAAGAAGTTGGGGTGGTATGGCTGAGGCGGGGCAGGCGGTGGAAAGGGCTGGAAGACAGCCGTGAAGTGCTGAGGGCAGGGAGGGTGAGAACCCCAGCTCAGATGAACTGATGGGAAACAGTGCCTGACATAGAGACCGCCTAAACACCGGCTGGAGGAAGAGTGGATGAATTTAAGATCAGCCTGAAAGCAAAACTCCCATACGCAAACAAACACAAAACGTTCTTTTTCTATTACCCAATATAGTCACTGTTTTGAATTCATGTGCCACTAAATGGCAAAAAACTGGATACTTGGGGCAATGCCAGGTCTTCCTCAGGCACCCCAGAATAGGCTTGGCCATTGGGGGTCTCCTCTCCCCGCTCAGGGGCAGCATCTACCCCCTAGGTGGCTTCCTCATGGGTGTGACATGGGGGGCAGTGGTGGCTCCCTGCTGGCCCTGCTCAGGCCGACATCTGCCCTGGAGACGTCTCATCCCGGCGGGTCCCTGCCTTGCATCCCAGAGGCTTCGGTTCCTGGTGGGGTGCTCCTGCCCACCCAGAAAGCCCCTGCCGCACACTCTGGGGTCTCGGCGACGCCCTTTGGGCCGTCTGCGCTGGGCCGAGGTTCTGCTGGTAGGGACGGTGCAAACGCTCGAGTTGAAATGTTCCCCTACTGCTTGGGACGGATCCGTGGCTTCAAGCCCCCCAGGTGCCTGCCTCTGCCCGCCCCGCCACTGTGGACCTCCCCTACGACCTCGATCCCACAGCCGTCTCAAGATCCAGAAGGCTCCAGTGTTGAAAGGAGCACTACGTCCTTTAACCTCCCACGGTGACACCCAGCCGCGTTAGCAGCTGCCGGCGCTTGCTGTGTGCTCAGCCCTTTGCACGTGGTATTGAGTGTCTTCCTCGCAACAAACTATCACTGGCCCATTTTCCAGATGAGAAAACTGAAGCATGGAGAGGTCAAGTGACCTGCTCAGGTCACACAGGAAGTGGCAGAGCCCAGCTTTGGAGCCAGCCCACACGATGGGGAAGGATACTCGGTCCGAGCGATGCGCGAGCACAAGCGTGGTGCTGGGAAGCGCAGGCTGGGTCAAGGATCCGGAGCTGGGGGGCTGGTTCT